CCCCAGGGAAACGTCCCCCTCCTCGCCCTGGGGAGCCGGGGGCTGGTTCGTGGCCCCGTGGCAGGAGGATTTATGGTCCTGTGCGTGTTCTGGCGTGTCCTGCCAAGAGTTTCTCGCTGAACTCTGGCTATCTCCCGCTCGGCGGCAGTCCCTGGGGAAGCACTGCTCTGCTTTTGGCCTGCCTGGCGTTTTGGGGGGGGTTGAGTTTGCCATCTTGGCTCTGAGTGTTGGTAGCCCCCAGTGAGAGCCGAGCTTTGCCTCCCACCCCATCTTACTGGTCCCAGCTCCGAGCTGCCTTCTCCACGCATCCCAGGGATAAACCACAGCGGCGTCCCGGTGCCGGCGACAGGACCAGACCTGTCACCTCTTGCCTGGCCATCACCAGGGCGTCTGGGCTGCCTGCACTAACAGGACTGTCTGCCCCCCACCCACCCCCAAACCTTAACCCTGGGGGGGAGACTCGCTGGGGAGCCCTGAAGACGCCAGGGTGTGACAACAGGCTGGTCCCCATCCCGGGGCTGGCGGTGGTGGCAGGGTGTGATCCCCGCCGTGTCTCCAGCAGTTGTCTGCCAGGCAGGAACATCAAAGAGACGCCCGAGACGGATCCCCCGGGGGGGGGCAGAGCACCCAAAAAAGTGGGGCTGAGAATCTGGCGTGTCCTCCCTGCCCGGTGTGCGGGTTCTCCCTGGCCCCGGGCGACCGCCCAGGGCCAGGGAGAACCCGCACGCCGGGCAGGGAGGACACGCAGCCCCAGTTTTTGATGAGGAGGGGGGGGTCCAACCGGTCCAGCACACCCCCTGGTGCGTTCCCAGGGTGGGGAGAGCATCCTCTGATCTCTGGGCTGCAGGGTGCTGCCTGGGGTGGCAAAGCCGGGGAGGCTCGTTTGGAGCCGGCCGGGCCGGCCAGGATGCTTCCCCCCCCCCTTCCATTCTCCATGGGTTTGGTTTTTGGGTGAGGTGGGGGTAGGATGCGTGGGAGCAGGGCTGGATTTGGTGTTTCCCCCCCCACCCCACCCCGTGCACGTCTTTCTTTAAGCCACTGGTGGCCTCTGGACCCCGTGGATGACTGGGGATGAGATGGAGAGGATGGCTGGGGGGGGTTTTTTGGGTTGCCTGCACCAGATGTGGTCCCCAACAGGGCTGTCCCCCCCCCTGCCCCCATCCACCATGGCTGCAGGACCCCTCTGTCCTGCAAACAGCCGCTCGTTTATGGGGGGGGCATCACGTTCTCTGTGGACCTGAGGCTTTTGGGACCTGAGGGACCAAGCAGCGCACGGGCTGTGGGCTCTGCTTTATCCCTCTTGTCCTTGACCCCCAGCTTGCAGGTCCCGTCCCCTCCCCTTTTCCCAAAATCAGATGTGGTCCCCAACCGGGCTGCCCCCCCCCCCTGCCCCCATCCACCATGGCTGCAGGACCCCTCTGTCCTGCAAACAGCCGCTCGTTTATGGGGGGGGCATCACGTTCTCTGTGGACCTGAGGCTTTTGGGACCTGAGGGACCAAGCAGCGCACGGGCTGTGGGCTCCACTTTATCCCTCCTGTCCTTGACCCCCAGCTTGCAGGTCCCGTCCCCTCCCCTTTTCCCGAAATCCTGCTGGGATTTGGCCGTGCTCCGGGCTCCTCGCTGCCAGCCTGCAGGATCTCTCCGGTTACAGAGCGGTGTCCCCTGGTAGGTAGCCGGGGAGGCGGCGGTGAAGCCACCCTGGCCTGGTTTCCTTTGTGAAAGTGCCGGCGGTTGGGAATGTCACAGGATCCGCTCTCCTCTCCCCGGAGCCAGAGGAGGAGAAAAAAGGGCTCTGTGTCCCGTTTCCCCCCCCTGCTTCCCCGCCATCCCTGGGGGGCAGGATGGGGGCCAGCAGCCGGGCTGTGCGGGCAACGGCGTCCCATCACCTCTTGGGGTTGGGTGGGGGGGAGTGTGGAGGGATGGGGGGCAGATTTTGGCTGCTGTGAAAAGGCTTCGTGGGCAGGAGCATCGAGGTGATGGGGGGGACACACACACGACACGGTGATGGAGAGCTGCTGGCCGGGGCGCCGCCAGTAACGCTCCAACCTCCCGGTGGCCCCTTTGCCGCGGCTTGTAAAATATCTCACAAATGCTGAACTTGGCCCCGAAATCTAAATAGGAGGGAGGGACAGTCCCCAGATGGCCTAAATCAGCAGCACGGTTGCCTGGCCCAGCTGGGGAGCTCGCCCGGGAGTGTTTGTTTTATGTAAAACCAGAGGCTGGAGGAATGCCGGCCTTGGAAGGAGCCCTGGCCAAGGGGGAAAATGTCTGTGCCACGCACGGGCACGGCCGGGCACGCGTGAGGGCCTGGCGAGGGGAGCGGGGATGGGGGCGAGGGGTGAAGAATTCCCCTCGGCTCCCACTTGGAGGGTGGGGGAGAAGGTGTCGTGGCTGCTCCTTCTTTTCCCTGCTGGGGATAAACTGGGGGTTCCCCTGGACAGACCCCCCCCTACACACACTGTGTGCCAGCGTGTCCCTGGGGGCTCTGCCCCAGAGGTTGGGTGGTTGCCCAGCTGAGAAGGACTCGTGCTGCAGCCTCCGTGGGGTGGTGGGACCCCTCGGTGGGATGGAGGAGGGGGGGGTCCATCGCTGTGCCGTGGGACGTGCCTGCCGTGGCCGTCTCCGTACGGAAGCCGTGCCGGGAAGGGCTGGGCACCGGGACTTTGCACCCCTGTGGGGGTCAGAGTCCGTCCTGCCCTCACGGGACCGGCCACAGCCTGCGTGGAGCCCCCGCGGCGGGGGACGGAGGGGTGTCCCAGGGCAGGTTTGGGAAGGGATGGGGGGGTGGGAGCCCTCTGGGGTGTTCTGGGGGTGTGGGGGAGATGCTGCAGCCCTGGGGGAGGGGGTTCAGGGCTGGCTTGTGTGGGGACCTCGCTGCCATCGCTGGCTGTGGGGCTGGGGTTCGCTTCCAGCCGGCCCCCCGGAGCCATCCAGCTGCACCCTGGGGCTGGGTGTGCAAGTGGGGGGAGACCCAGTCCCCCCATGAGGCTCACTCAGAGGAGAGACGTGGGTCCCCTCCCTGTGCACGTCACAGGGCTGTGGTGTCGCTGGTGGTGGCTGGAGGGAGGAAGCTGACGGCCACGAGCCCTTCCTCCCTCTTCGCCTCTCCCGGGACCACCTGGGGCTGCCCTGGCGCCAGGGAAACACGGGATGCGGTGACGCGGTCACTGTCCTTGTCCCCCTCCTGCGGGGCCGCGGGCACGGGGCTGGACGGGTTGGCTGGTGGCACTGAGGTGGCCATGGGAAGGAGGAACGTGCCCCTCCACATCCCGGTCAGCCAGGGCCCTCGTCATCCCTGCCACCCCTGAGTCACAGCAGTGACAGTGAGGTGGCCAGGGGCACAGCCACGCGTGGGGTACGGTGTGGAGGGCTTTGGGGTGCTCCAGGGTGGTGGCAGGGCTGCGTCCCCATGTCCCCAGCGTGAGGGGGTACCCGTGGGGTGGCTGCCTGTCCCCCTGTCCCCATCCCGGCTCCCCCCGTCACGCCGCTGGGCTGGCGGTGCCTCCCGGGGGCTCTGCGCCCTCCTCGCACACTTCCTGCCGTCTGTTTCCAATTCCTCCTGGCGTCTGCTCCTCCCCGCTTTCTTCCAATTAAAAAAAAAAAAAAAAAGAAAAAAAAAATCCCAGGCATCCTCTCGGCGTGCAGCTCCCGGAGGCTGCCGTGCCCCGCTCCGGCGGCTGGGGCTGCGCTGGGAAGGGAACAGGGGGTGCCCGCGGTGCCCCACATCCCTTTTTGGTGCCCATTTATGTGGGGCGGAGGGTCGGGGATTGTCCTGCAACGTTCCAAGCGCCCAGGTCTTTCTCCTGGTGGTCCTTTCTGCACATCTGCTCCGTGGACACGCTCGTGGAGGGGGTGTGGGGAGCGTGGGGGGGTCTGGGGACGCATCCTCCGGGAGCCATGCCCTGCGTGGAGGCTGCTCCCGGGGGAGTGGAGCTGCTGGTGGGCAATGGGGTGATGTTTTCCAGCCTGGTGGGATGAGGGCTGGTGTCGGCAGGGCTGTGCCATCTATGTCCTCCAAACCCTGACCGTGTCCCTCTCTCTCTCGTCCCTTTAGGAGTGACCCGTCCGTGACGCTGGTGAGGAGCCCCCAGCTGCGGAGCACCGGGCACAAGCACCGACGGGGGATCCTCGGGGACGTGGCGGCTCCACCTTGGGCCGCCCCGGCGCAGCGCGGCCATGCCCATCCTCAAGCAACTGGTCTCCAACTCTGCCCACTCCAAGCGGCGCTCGCGGGCCGACCTGACGGCCGAGATGATCAGCGCGCCCTTGGGGGACTTCCGCCACACCATGCACGTGGGGCGGGCAGGGGACGCCTTCGGGGACACCTCCTTCCTCACCAGCAAGGCCGGGGAACCGGGGCCTGAGGCGGGTGAGGAACCGGGAGCCTCCAAACCCGGCCTCCTCTCCCGCCGTTTCCGCAGCAGCAAGCGCTCGCAGTCGGTGACGCGGGGTGACCGGCGGGACATGCTGGGCTCGCTGCGGGACTCGGCCCTCTTCGTGAAGAATGCCGTCTCCCTGCCCCAGCTCAACGAGAAGGAGTTGGACAGGAGCGCGGGGCAGCTGCCCAAGAGCCTCTCCTCCAGCCCCGTCAAGAAGCTGCCCGAGGAGGGGAGCCCCGAAGAGCAGCAACGTCCCAACGGGGCGGCCGCCGGGCCCCTCAGCCCCGGCTTGGATGAGCGTGACTTCGGGGACATCACGGAGCTGCCGGTGGTGGTGGCCAAGAGCGGGGCGGGCATGAAGCACGCCGAGTCCATCATGTCCTTCCACATCGACCTGGGGCCCTCCATGCTCGGGGACGTCCTGAGCATCATGGATAAGGAGCAGTGGGAGCAGGATGAAGACCCCGAAGCGGAGGAGAGGCGTGAGGAGGAGGTGGATGCCACCCTGCCCGGCTCCCCGGTGGCAGCGGTGGCCCCACCGAGCCAGAGCCCATCCCGTGGCAGCGGTGGCCACTGCCCCAGGGACAGCAGTTCGGTGTCCAGCTGCGCCTCGGGGCTGGAGGAGCGTAGCCCCATCCCAGGGCCACCGAGCCACCGGGGTCCCCCCAAACGCCCCGACAAGGAGTTCTCATTCGCTGACGAAGACGACGATGAGATCAGAGTATAAAAGGCGGGCGGCCGAGCCGAGGGGCCTGGTTCTCATCTACGGTTGCTTGGACACGGGGCCGAACGCCCCGGTGCTGCGAGGGGTGGCACCGGGGAAGACTCCCCCCCTCCCTCGTTCCCTCTCCCCGTCGGACGGTGGACGCACGGCAGCAGGACTGGGCTCTGCTCCCGGGGCCAGGGACAGCCCCGACGCCTCTCGCCCTCTCCCCGTCGGACGGTGGACGCACGGCGGCAGGACTGGGCTCTGCTCCCGGGGCCGGGGACAGCCCCGACACCTCTCGGCTCCCAGAGAGCTCCGGCACATCCCGGGAGGGGAAAGCAGACTCGATTTTGGTTCTTTTTGTTGAACTTTGGATATTAGCTCTTTTCTTGCAACCCCCCTCCCCTGTAAAGCAATATAGGATCAAACAAGACGAGGCTTTGAAGTTTTAGCCCCTTTAGTAATATATATATTTTTTTTTTTTTCCGCCGTACGGTTTTTACTGCTCTCTGATTTGTACCTAACTTTCTTTACTCTGGCTTTTGGTTTTGACGGAGGGGAGGTTTCCCATGAGGAAGGACTTGGCTCTGGAGCTCAGAGGGGGCTGTGGGTGGCTTCAGATCCCTGGGTTTCTCGGGGACCTTCTGCAGACTGAGATCCCCCAGCCCCGTGCTGCGATGGGGGCTCACTCCCCACCCCTCGGCTGGATGGATCCATCCCACATCCTTGACCCTCCAAACACCCTGGGGGTCGCGGGGATGTCCCCTGGCCAGCCCTGCCCTGGTGCTGGCTGCTCCTGGGGATGCCAATGGGTGCGTGGGTCTGTCCCCTGTGGGAAGAGGAACGCCTGGGCCTCCCCCCCGCGAGCCCTGGTGTCCCCGTGTGCCGGGTGGCCACCATCGTGGGCTAGTGCCAACGCTGGCCTGGTGCAGGCTGGTGGAAGAGGAGGGTTTTATACCTTGTATGTACAAATGCAAAGAATAAAAGGAAACAGTAGTGACAGCGGTGGCCTGAGTTCCTGGGGGATGAGATGTGGAGGTTGGGGGGGGGACATGCGTGCTGGCTCCCTGTTCTACAGGAGGGGAATGGCATTCTCCGGGCTGTCACCATCCCCAGACCCTGTCCCTGGCTGGAGTCCTGCCTGCCTGCGGGTCCCCTGGCCTGTTTTCGGGTGCCTGTGGTGGCCGGGCTTTGTGTGCCCATCACGTGGGGCTGCCTGTGGTGGGAGGAAGCGGGCGAGCTCCCGCTGGCCGGATCTGGCTCCGGGCTTGGGACCCTCCGGCCAGGTCGGTCCCTGCCAAGGGACATCTCTGCCAAGATGCCTCTCTCCTTCCCTGCCAGCCGGGGAGGAGGGGAAGGCGATGGCAGGGCAGGACTGGCCATCTCTGCTCCCACAGAGGAGCTCCCAGCCCCAGGGGGGGGCTGCCGTGGTCCCTGCGACCCCGTGAGGGTGGATGGAGGGGCTGTAGGTGGTGTGATGAGCAGGGTGGGTGGCTCCCATCCCGTGGCCAGCTTTCCACAGCTCGGCCCTGGGTTCAAGCAGGGCTCTGATGGTGTGGGGGCTGCCTTCCCTCCCCATCTGTGATGGAGGAGAGCACCTGGAGCAGCTCTTCCCCAAGCTGATGGGGAGCACGGCTCTGCTGGGAGCACTGGTTGGGCTCTCCTCACTGGTGCTGGGTGGGGAGGAAAGGATTTGGCCCCTCCAATGCCTCCGGGCCCAGGCTGGGTGCCCCTGTCATCCCAGAGGGGTCTCCCCCGGCGAAGGCAGTGGGAGGGGGTGCGCGCTGTGCCGCAGCGGGGACACAATGGGGTCCTGTGCGGGCACCGGGGCCGATACAACGGCGTGGGACATTGGGCTATTGTCCGGGTCGGGGAGAACAACAGCAGCTGCAGCTGGTGGCTCTGAGCTCACCGGGCTGCCACCACCCCTGTCACTGCAGCACAGTCCCCCCCTTCCTGTACCAGGGCCCTGGGGCTGCTGTGCCATGTCCCTGTCCCCCTCCCAGCCCACCCTCCTGGTCCCTGTCTCCGTGGCACAGCCCCCCCCTTCCTGTGCCAGGGTCCTGGGGATGCTGTGCCATGTCCTTGTCCCCCTCCCAGCCCACCCTCCTGGTCCCTGTCTCCTGCAAGGCCACCATGCTGCAGGGAGGACCTGGCTCCTCTTGTCCCCGACTGATGCAAAGCAGTGGGGCAGGTCCATGGGGGTTTGCACCCCTTCCCGGGACCCCCCCTCGCTCCCTGGGGCTGTGGGGAGGGGAGAGAGGCCCCGGGGTGACCCGGCACCATCCTCCTGCCACCGTCACTCTGCGATGGCCATCTTTGTGACGCCTGTCGGCTCCAGCCTCCCGCTCGGCAGCACCGCGCTGCCGCGAGCCGACGGGGCAGAAAGCTCACCCAGCCTGCACGGGAGGTGGCCCCCACTCGATGGGACCCATGAGCGAGCAAGCCCAGGGCCAGCTCAATGGCTCCTGGGCTAGTGGGGAGTGGTGGCAGCACCGCTGCACCCCCAAGTGTCCCCCAAACCCCTCCATCTGCCAGCACGGGGTGAGCATCCCGGTGTGGTACCCGGTGGGTGGGCGGGATGTGGCTGCCAGGACCGTGGGGTGCCAGGTGGGTGCCCAGCACCCAACGTGGGGCTGTGGCCCCCTCGGGCAGCGCTGGGGCGGGCGGGCAGCCCTGGTCCAGTGCATTTATCACTAGTGACAGAATGGGAGCAGGTCTCCATCCCCGATGTGTCAGGCCCCATCGCTCCGGGCGCATGGTGGGGGGGGATGCGCAGCTCCGCGTGATGGAGGAGGGACGCGGCGT